GTTGCGACAGGAAAGGCTGGTGATTGGTTTATTTGAAGAAGACGAAAAGGTCAAGCTAATGAACGTAGTAGAAGGGAGTATAGCATCGAGTGAAACCAGAACGGCAACAGAGATTGAAGCGTTACAAGTCGACGTTATCTCGCACAGTTGTATACCCATTCCAATTCAGAAACTCAGCGAGAAAATGAAATAGCTAAAAATGCAAGTGCTGAATCACAGGACCGAGACGACTGCAACGGATTCTGTAGGGTTACTGATCACCTCAGACTATTATTAGGAATTCTTTACTGGTAGAACTCGAAGAATTGAGGACAGTCTTTTGGCTGTAGAAACTATACTGGGATGCGTACTGGAAGGGCCCTCAGAGCAGAGCAGGCAAAACTAATACATAATCAAGCAGTAACGGGTATGAAGGTTGAAGCTGTGGAGACAGAGCTCCAGCAATACCTACAGAGGTTTTGGAGCCTGGTGTCAATGGAGACCACAAGAAATAGTTTGGATAACACAAGAAATGAAGTCGTCGAAGAATTCCAGCGCAAGATTGTACAACAAAACGGTCTCTATAAAGTCAGCTTGCCATAGAACGGGACGTAACCTTAGAAAGCAACAAGGAAAATGCGATAAAAGGACTAGAGCAACTGACTAAAAGGCTGCAGAAAAATGAAGACGTGCTCATCGCTAGGACAAAGCTATATCAGAGTATATGGCATTAGGAGGTCCAAGAGCTAGAGGAGGTCCAAGAGCTATCAGAACAGCCAAATGCACTTTGCTACTACATGCCACATCATACGATCATTCGAGAAGACTGAGCCACAACAAAGGCTCTAGTAGTGTTCAACACCTCATCACATTCCTGAAAAGGCATGTCTTTAAACGATAACCTAAAAGAAGGACCCAATTTGAATTAAGACATGCTATCGCTGCTAATTCATTTCCGAAAAGAAAAGATGGCATTAGTAGGAGATGCTGAAAAGGCATTTCTACAAATCTCTATACACGAAAAGGATAGAGATGGAATGAGATTTCTGTGGTGGAAGCATGACGCTAAGGGAAGGTTAATGAATGAAGTGCAAACATGGCACATCAGAAGAGTAACGTTCGAAACAACACCAAGCACGTTTATACTGGCAGCTACAATTAAACACCATTTGAAACAAGTGAAAGACCGGTTTCCTGATACGTCAAGGACACTGCAGAAAGCAATTTACGTGGATAATGTCAATCTGGGAGCAGAAACGCTTGATGAAGCATTCAAGTTGCACAAAGAGGCAAAGCAAGCGTTCAGAAAGGCAACAATGAATTCGAGAAAATGGGCATCTAATGAAGAGCGAATAAACAAAATAATAGATGAAAATGAAAGGGACAACTTTCACACGGAGATTCAATCTAAAGGATTTACAATGCTTCTGGGCTTGATATGGAAACACTCAAAGTACATTATTTCCTTCTCTGTTGAAAAGTGGAAATCAATAAAATATACGTCGTTGATAAAAATGGCCGTGTTACAAGCCACATCCAAGATATTTGACCCGCTTGGTTTGTTGTCGCCGTTCACAGTACGCGCGAAAATAGGACTGCAGAGACTGTGGAAAATGAACGTCACGTGGGACGATCAGCTCCCTAAAGAAGAATGCGACAAATGGAAGAACCTCATGGCTGAAGCGGAGGACTTTCGAGTTCTAAAAAATGGCAGCTTATCCACGGAGTGAATGATGGAGAGTGGGGCGAAGCATTCGTCCGTCCATTCGTTTTTGCTTCCGTTCATCCATGCGTTCGTCTGTGTGACCGTCCGTGCGTCCATCCGCCCGTCCGTGCGTACGTCTGTTCGTGCATCCGTCCCTGCGTACGTCCATGCATCCGCCCCTGCGTCTGTTCATGTGTTCATCCATGCATCTGTGTGTGCGTTCGTCCATCTATTGAACTCTACAAGTACCACCCTCTCGCATCTTTCCATCATATATTCGCCATATAGAAGCACCACAATCAAGCACACATTCCTAGGACGAAACGAGAGGCGGCACACGCACACTTTCTTACGGCTTGCACTTCGGGTCTACTTCCCACCTTTAACCGCCTCGAGTTTATGGTATATACTAGTTGACGGTATTCATTACACTGCGGCCCAACGCTCGCTAAACCTTTCTAAAACCAAGGAGGTTACGCCCAGCGAGTATAACGCAGCAACCTTTTCCTGTCAGATAGTGCTCAATGTACATGCCAATGGCTGCTAATGGGAAATGAGATACCGGAGAATTCCGCTTTTACTTTCTTACGGCTTGCGCTTCGTATCTACTTCCCTCCTTTAACCACCTTGAGTTCATGGTATATGCTAGTTCATTGTATTCATGGCACTGCAGCTCAACGCTCGCTAAACCTTTCTAAAACTAAGGAGTTTACACCCAGCGAGTATAACGTAGCAACCCTTTCTTGTCCGATAGTGTTCAATGTACATGCCAATGGCTGCTAATGTGGATCGCAGCGTGCGCGTTACCTAAAAGCCGAAAGCTCCTTTCTATCATTCCTCCTTTTCAACCAATGTCATGTACATTGAGCACTATCTTTTTTTGTTCAACAACGCACAGAAGAAATCTCTCACTGACACCTTGGGGGTCAAAATGTTATACTTGTTACACACTACAACCGCTACGAGGGACGAACGGATGCCACTATAAGGAGTTTCGCCCCTAAAATTATGCGGTGCTACGCAAACAAGAATCAACCAGTACAAGCGTACAAGCTGCATCTATTTGCCGACGCGAGCCTATCAGCATACGGAGCGGCAGCATACTTAATAGCAGTATACCGCGTTGGAAGCAAAACATCAAGGCTGGTAACATTGATTTGACTGATTTGTGGGGTTGAACGTCCCACAACCACGATCCATCGTGAACTTACTTACAGCACAACACCAGAAAAAATACAGGATAGGGAAGGAGTAGAACAGAAAGAAAAGACGGCACTGACTCACAAGTGTTGTTTCAAACAACAGTTGTTTGGAACGTTGTGAGTCAGCGCCGTCAAAACATACCTCCACTCCCGGCAGACAAAGTCACCGAAGCAGGGCCTTTCAAAGTTACGGGAGTTGACTTCACGGGAACTCTTTATGCAAATGAAGAATACCAGATTGTGAAGCAATATGCACTGATATTCACCCTGCACGGTAACGAGAGGAGTGCACTAGGAGGTTACTAACGATTTGTCATCGTCAAGTTTTCTACAAGCATTCCGACGATTTACAGCTCGACGGAATATGCCAGCAGTAGTCTACTCGGACAAAACCAAAACATTTATAAAAGCTGACAAGAAAATCAACAGAATTCTTGAAACCATTAAACACGAGATCTTAAAGGATTACTGCAGGGGCCAACAAATTCAGTGGAAAACCATAGCTGAGTGCGCGCCATGGTGGGGAGGATTTTACGAGCGCCTTATAAGAAACCTGAAGACGTCGATGCGAAAGATAATATCAAAAAGTACAGCTTCGGTAGAGGAGCTACGTACTATTGTAGTAGAAGTTGAAGCAGCACTCAACAATCTACCGTTGACTTACGTGTATGGAGAACCTAACGAGCCAATGCCACAAACACCGGCAGACATTATAGGCGGACGGCAACAGCTTCAAGACGGAGAGACAAGACTGTACAACGGCGACATTGAAGACGCATGGTGAATCAGATGCAAACTAGTGCGAGCTCTGTGGACAATATTGCACCGAGAATACATCAAGAAAATATGAGCTACGGTCAAAGCCAAGACCCGGCAAGCAAAACCACTCTCACAGGGTGACATAGTGTTGGTTGACGACAAGGCACCAAGAACATTTTCGAAAATGTGCCGGATTGAAAAACTCTACTCTTGGCGACATGAAATAACAAGAGCTTCTCTCTTTCGCACAGGCAAAAAAGAACTGAGAAAATAGGTGAACCTCATATACCCTATGGAGGGATGTGTAAGATAGCCCGCGAGAGCTTATCCTATTTTGACTTGGGCGGGTGGGAGCCTATAAAATATCATCATCAAACGCCGGAAGAAGAAGAAAGAAGACTGCTGTCTGGAGCGAGCGCGTGCTACTCCACTTCTAATAAACCGTATTCGTTTGAAGCAGTCCCTGGTCTCGATAGTGTTAATAAATGTTAGCTGTTTTCGCTCGAATTTTCGAAGAATAAATTCTTTTTTGGCGAGTAGTGCCGTTTTAAGGAAACGTTTTTTTTTTCTTAAACGATGCTGGAATTGCGTTATTAAAATCATGTCGTTCACCTAATCAGGAAAGACGAGTTAAAATTACTTTTTCCATGTCCTTCAAAAAATTAGGAAGGAGAGATTTCGGTCTATATTTGGCAATGCTTTCCTTATTTCTATTAAAAAAAGGGGAAATAAGTGATATGATGTGAGGATGAACGAAAAAAAAAAGCTTGAAGGAAAACCATAGCGCAGATTTGTATACCCCACTTTATCAAGGGATAGGAAAGATAAGTTAGGGAGGGCAGGACCAACGTTAGGCTGAATAGGAGGGAAAAATAAAGGTGAAGGGATGAAACGTTGAACTATCATGTAAAATAAAGACAGCTAAACGTCGTAAAAAGTGATTGAACGGCAAGAGGAGTGATTAGAGGGTATTATATGAAAGCACATAAAAGGCACTACATAAAGAGACAAACAAAGACAAAAATGAAACAGGGGATCTAAAAAATAAAAATAGGAAAAAAGAAAGAAAAAAGGACACACAGAAAAAACTAAATATGTGTTCGCTAGGTCATGCCGCTTGTTAGCCAGCTGCGCAATTCACCTGTATTGTTAGAAGCATGCAACTAACCTTCATGTCCTATATGCTCCATAAGATGCTACAATATGAAACTTTTCTGTTTTTTAGCAGTATTTATACATGTCAACATATCGCAAAACGCCATATTCTGCCAAACAATTCTACTTCTGTTTTTCTACAAATTGAAGTTTCACATAAATCTTCGCTATGAACAGCTGTCATACCAGTGTACGTTAGATAGACGGCCCTTGCAAGTGTTTTATTTGTAAGGTATTATAAGTGCTGCAAGAGCCTTTCAGTAGTCAGCGGCACACTTTGGTCGTAGAAGGGAACCAGGCAGCAATGAACAATTTTTCTTTCAGAAAAGCATTCTAAGCAGCATTGCGGAGAAATGAGGATTTTCCTACTACAGTTCTTCGCCGGCTGCAATGTCGTGTACTTCGCACCGGTTGGTGGTATGTAATGGATGGGCATTCAAAGAACCCACTCGTTGCTCAGTTCACGTGTCTCGATCGGTGGCGCTGTTTTACGCTTCTGACAAGCAATATTACATGTGCCAAAAAAAGTCATTCCACTGCATGACATTCATATAGTGATTTTTAGAAGCACTTGCAAAGAATAGTGTGGCTCTGTGGTAAAACGCCTGCTTGCATCATAGATAGCCTTGGTCCGATTGTAACTCGGAACAAATATTCTTTATTTATTGTATTTACATTTCTTTCTATTGTTATATCCCGCAATATAGAACGATTTTCGTTGCCAACCAATGGCGCTGTCACTGAAGCCACAACTTCAATTTATGGAAAATGATCTCTTCAACGCTCTAGCATTAGAAATATCATCCATCTGTTGAAATTCTCCAGAGATATGCACAAGCGAGCACATGCGATGAAGTCGAGTTACTCAACGAACAGAATCTACATAACTCTATGTGGTGGATCCCCTTAGCCTCAGTTATCCGTACAGTGCGATGAAACACAGGATTGACGATGTCCTTTAATTAGCGCCATTTAGGGAGCCTTCATGGCCGACCTAGCACCTTTTCGCCCTCTGCACCATCTCACGGAGGATACTGAACAAGCACGTGTAATGTTGAAGTGCCTCTAAGATGAGCGTTCTAGCAATGGCAGATCATATTTAGAAAAATAGTTTAAAGACAGAATGCTACAAAATATATACGTAGTGGCCGATTGGTGCAGTGCTTCGCGGAGTAAATGGTCGTAAATTGGAATCCGCTTACATGTTCTGAAAATTTTCGTGTTTTTTTTTGAGAAGTGCACATATATATGAGGCCATACATGTACGTAACCGCAAGGTGACTAGAAAAACCTGCTGAGCCTGTTCATATTACAGTCATTGTAACAGAATTCTGGGCTTTCTGTAAAATTTTATACGCGTTTTTTTTTTCTTAATAAGTACGGCAGAGAATATTTGCTCGTCGCTTGTTTTGCGTGTTTCGGAGCTTCTTCTACACCACAAGAGCAGCGTATATGTGGCGCATAGAGAGCAACCTGAAGTAAAAGCCAGCACATGAAGAAAAACTAGAATATTGAAAGTTTTAGAGGAGCAGAATACTAAAAAAGTTAGGCAATATCAACCTTTCTACAAGAATGTTCACTCCAAAAATCACAGCATATTCATAGAGTGAATGATGATGAGTGAGGCGAAGCATCCGTGCACCCACTCGTGCGTCCGTCCATGCGTTCATCAGTCGATCCATGCTTCCCTCCGTTCGTCCGCATGTTCGTGCCTCTGTTCACCCGTTCATCCGGACGCATGGATGGATGTACAAATAGACAGAGGCACGGATGCACGGACGGACGCATGGACGAATGCATGGACAGATGGATGGATGGAAGCAAAAGCGAACCGACGGACGAAAGCATGTACGTACGGACAGGAAGCACGGATGGATGAATACACGGACGCACGCACGATTAGATAGAGGTACGGACGCATGGATGGACGAATGGACGGAGGCCTCGCCCCATTCATCATTATTCACTCCGGTTATATGCTGTGAAAACGACTAACGCCATCTAGCTATATTATACCCATGGATAGGTGGACGAACGGATTGATATGGCTGTACCTTTTAAATCAGGCGGTGGCCAACGCCACCAAGTCGCAATATTTAGCGAACGAAAAACCAGATTTCTTTTTTTTTCCTTCGAATAGCGAGGTTGAAGACTTGTACTTTGCAGTGAAGGGTTTAATTTTTACTCGTGGTTTAACTTTAGCCACCAATCAGTTTACCTCTTTCTAGTTAATTCTATCCGTTTAAAGTCGATTTTGCCCTCCCTGTCCCTAAACCCCAGTGCTTTAAGAAACTCTGCGTCATCATCCTGAACTATAGGGTGAAGTCCTTTACAGAACATTATCAAATGTTTGGCAGTCTCCTCCTTCCCTCCACACGTGCTGCCTACCGTGTCTACCCCTTCGTTACATACATACATGTACATGCACATATACATACAATGCCATCTGTTGAGCAAGTCACAAACTGGAGGTGGCTACATACTACATACGAAGGAGGGAACGACACACGGCCTAAGAAACTTCGTCCCTAAAACACTGATACTCGAGTGGGACTACCAAACCTACCTCTTATGCGTAAACATGTCATGACATACCAAAAATGACCGGCATACTGAATATATATGGTACTTAGTATATGTTTCTCAATATATATACGTCTCTAAGCACAGGACCAGGTTAACTGGCAGAAGATGGGAGAGGCCTTTGTCCTGCAGGGGACGTAGTCAGGCTGATGATGATGACGATGATGACGATGCTTCTCAATATAAGTAAGCACACACGTTTGCCTTTGAAGCGGTAGTATTTTATACCATTGTCGACCTTGGAAGTTTGTATACGCTTTCCTCCACGCAATTGACGTCAATGAAAAGTAAAGTAGTCATGATTCTATGGAAGTCACTATGCTTTAATGCGTTCGAGGCGCACGACATGAATTTGACTTTTCGCATTCGTGAATCTCAGTGTCTTGCTATCCACATGTAGTCTAAGCGCACCACTATAGGTCGAACCATTTTGGTTCGACCTAGTGGCAAAGACGATATGTGGTTTTCAACCCATCTGAGGTGAACCTGAGTTCTTGCTATGAGGTTTACCTCAGAAAGATACTGCCTAATACATACTGCGATACTGCCTCACGATACTGCCTAACACAAGTTTTGAGCGCAGCTGCTTGTTGGAGCAATGTCAACTGTTCTTGATGTTTGGTCTTTGGGCATCGGTGGTGCCATAAGGCAAGGATGACGCTTTACAAATCACAAAAAACTAGTACACCATCGAGGTAGTACACGATTGTGAAGTAGTACACTATCAACCATGCCATTAATAACTTTTCTGCTGAAAATTTAGGTATTCGCTATGCATCTGTAAGGTAATCTGGCACGTTGTTGGTGTGGCATGCGGCTGATGACAAAATATCAGGGCTGGGGACTTTACAGTGAGTTGAAAAAAGCAAAAAAGTAAACCATATACTCGTTGAGTTATTAGCATTGTGTGATGAGTGGTCGCTATATTTCACTCTTCTATCCCGCTGTATTGAATGGTTTAACTTCATTTTTGTCCAATATGGCGCTTGAATAGTGCATTTTCGCTAATCAGTTTCAAGCCCCAGTGTCGCTCTGTGGTAGAATACTCGACTGGTGCACACATAAGGGCCAGGGTCATAATTCGTTTCAATCCGAGACAATTTTAAAATTATATTGTTTCATGTGTATTATTAAGCTACGAATGGTGGTGATGACGGCCATGGCGGCGCTTCTTGATGCAGGAAGTGGCGCCATAGTGCTGCACTCTATGGGCTCAAACGAATACGCTATTCCCAAACGTGAATTTTAGTACAGAGATGTACGCGCTATCGCATGTTTTATGAGGAACGTTGCGAATAGAGCGAAGCATGACCAGACAGCCTAGCAGATCAGGAGATCGCAAAGAAAGAGTATTGGAGTGATCGACAGCAGCTGCTGTCTACGGTCCACTTATCTACTCGGGCACCAACGTACCTGATTCGATCTCGTAGCCGCTAGCGGCTGTGTGGTTTCCTATTCACCCTCTCACCATGTTCTCCACGCCAGTTTGAATATTTTGCTTTGTTAGTTCTCTCGACGACGACGGACGAGGCAATCTGATGCTCAATGCGAGGACGACGAGTACCGACATTCTACGCTCTAAAGCTGAGTTTCGATAACGAGCAATTTAATGCCGGGCAACATTACTACTGCGGAAAGAACTTTGGTGCAGCAGCCAGTATCACAATGACAAAGATTGCCAGGCGTGAACGCAGCGACATGTGATTCTAACTTTGCCGAGGATGGCACCGGCTCTGAAACATTGTACTGAAGTACAGCACTTAATCATTGCGGGGCCTATCGGTGAAACAGGGCACAATTAACACTGCACTGAATCAGCGGTGTGCATTTGGGGGGAAGTCACTAGGCTTTGGCGAGGTTTTACGCACACCACGAATGTCGCCTTCCGCGTTTGTGAATTTCGGCATCTCGCGAGTCGCTAGTTATCCGAGCGCACAAGTAAGTTCGACCGAAATGTGAGGCAAGTGTGGGGCAGTGGTTTTCAACTGAGATGTTTTCATGTCGAAAGCCGTAATGCGGGCCCGACAATAATGCACTCTGTGAAGGTCTTATTTCTTAGTGCCAAGCACGACTGCACGTACTTGTATATAAATATATGTCTTAGTTTCATACTGTAAATGATGCTCATATAAGAGGGAGCAACAATACGAAAAGACGCAATACTTCAGAAACATTCTGTATTACGTGTTTTCTTTTGCTGTATGAGAACGTACATGTTTTTCACGGTGCAATGTATCAATGCGAGTAGTGTTGAACATGTAACATACCTGAATACTGAATACTTGTGTTAACGGTCGTGACAATGACAAACAATTTTTTTCCACTTCTAGCAATGCCGGACTGCTTGAGGATGCCCTCAGAAGGCGATGAGTGCGAAACAGAAACCGACAGATGGTATTTTAACAAAGATGAAGGAGCTTGTGTGAATTTTATGTATGGAGACTGCGCTGCAGGTGGCAACAGCTTTGCCTCCGTGCAAGAGTGTGAGAGTGCTTGTAGGGGTAAGCGCAGTTCCGTTATTTCTCAGCATGTTGCTTTTCTCTGTTATAATTTACTCAACAAAACGCACCTGCGGACTTCATTTCTCTAATTCTTTGTTTTTTTATCATCATCTAACTCAATTTATTCATTCAGATATCCTTGATAAAGCTAAAGTGTGCAGTGTAAGCAGTGTTAAACAGCATGGTGACTTTTCCAGAAATTAATAAATCAGGCATGGTATCACGTTTATGAATTTTAACTTTTTTTTCTGTCGCAGCACGGCATATTACATAAAGTGGCTTAGAGCTGCGTTTCAAAAGACCATGTTTCTGACAAGAAAATGAGTGCGTTTCTAATAAGCGACTTCAATATTTAGGGTAGGTTAAAATTTTTTCTTCAGTTGTGTTTCTGAAAATGAAATGAGCAGTCCTGATTATGCAGTTGTATTTAATACGGAAAGCATTGCGTCCAATACTGATGAATGTATCTTGCACTGCCTATTATCGTTGTGAAGCATAGCACTTGCACACCACGCGATTTTGATACATTGAACGTTCCTAGGAAAACAAAGATACGTTCAAGAGTTATGAGCACCTAATATATGGTACTACAGTATCTTGACCTCTAATTCAGTGTTAGTGGAACTATTATTGTTCTTTTGTTACCCACTGTAAGACAATACACATTCACGGACTACGTGTAAGCTGCACAGAATGCACAAACCAATGTAAATTCCTTATTTCCGCACACAAACACCTTCCTTCTAAACTACCAGCATCGACATTAAACGAATGCAAATGATTTATAACAAAAAAGCCCTCGCAGAAACACTAAACTTATTTGTGAAAACCATTTTCTCAACTCCTTCCTTAATACATTTATTACACACCTTGAGAAACTTTCACCCCACAAGAAGTATAGAATTTCTACAGTAGCCGTTTAAAATCAGACGGTGTACTATAGCGCTTCTCCTATTCATATGCAGTGCATAATTTATACAATAGCACTATTCACAAACGTTTCAAGGACGCCTTAGTTATTTATAATAATAATGTTTTTCGTTATGTGCATGATTTTTAGTAATTTAATAGTAGCGAAGGGTTTCTATCTATGGTTACCTCCGCAAGCAAAATGTTTGAAATACGTGGAGTAGGTCTGCTAAGAACCAATAATGTTTTAACATCGAAAGCTTCGTAGGCAAATATCTGCGCCTTGAACAGGCCTTCAATAGTTAAAACAAGCCAACAAATTAAAAAAAAATACTTAGATACTGCCCATATATTGCATGTCGACAACAGGAAGTTGCTATAGAGGCTATATTTTACCGCAATTAAAAAGTATGGTAACACAAAAGCTGAGATGCACGTTCCCTGTGTGTTGCAGAACCTGAACATTACAAAGGGTACAAAGCGTATTCACCGTATTTTTTCTCAGTATGCAGTGGTGCCTGCGCCACTTCTAGAGAATATAAAATACTTGCCGAGCAATCTTACGGTACACTAGAAAGCCACAGCAAGTGCGAATGTCCGCGACCTTAACACTTGCCATGAAAAATAGCCTAATGGACCTCTGCTTTGCAGGCGCAGGAAGAGGACCACCGCAGCTCCCCGTGCCTCCTAAAAAGCCACCGCACAAAGGCGGTAAGAATATAGGCGAGGCTCACAGCAATATATATAAATGTGATCGAGCCACTCTTATAGAGCATTTTAGACTAATTACAGTGAAAGTCGCCGAAAGGTCATGCTGGTTAGTTTGTGTAATGGTCCTCGCACGCACAATCGTACTCTGCATATGCATAATGTAGAATCGAGCACCGTTTGCCCAAATCTAAAAACCCACTGGCTGGAAATTCACAGCATCCTCATAAAACTGATCATGCGGCTTCCCTCTTGATCTATATAATAGTACCGCAGAACTTACGTGATGGCATGTTTGGCCTTGGTGGCATATTATCCCTCAACACATATAGATGGCAAATGCTGATGGCGGGACACGCCACGAATGCATTACGCATTTTTTTTTGTTTACCGCACATTCATGGAGCTGACGAAATATTGTGACGACGTTATACTGACCAGCCTGAACATTATATAAGTCATTGAAATTTTTCCCGAGAAGTATCACCCTTTTGTTTCTATTACTGTAGATACGTTATTAATCTAGCTGATATGACCATGGTTGCCAAAGTAAGCATTAATACACTCACAAAAACGACAAGACGGCTGTACAGAGTAGACAGATGTCACGTGCAAAATCTGGCGGCCTAGCATTGTATTGTGTTGGTATGGCAACCACGAGAACTATTATATTGCGTCTAAGGGACTAAGTAAGGCGACAACCACGAGAGTTTACAATACATGTGGAATCAGCATAGCCTTAAGAGTGCATTGCCACACGAGCGCTAATAGTGATAAATCCCCCCCCCTCTTCAAAAAAAAAAAACACGCAGGAAAAGAACCCCCCAAAGGAAAATGGCCACCTGGTGGAGGCGGCCGGCCACATAAACCTTGGAGACCATGGGGAAAACCACCTCATCCTCCAAAGAAACGGCCTTCACCCCAGGGTAGGTGGGAGTACTTGGCGGCTGCAAACGATGCGAAATGCAAACGTCGCGTAGTGCAGCCGAACACTTGATGATTGTTGATGCGACACATATGCGTAGGTTCCGAAGAAAATGATACCGCCTCGAAAAGGCCTGGAGGGGGTAAATGGCAACGGCCGAGACCACGTCCGAGACCGCGCCCACCAAAGCCACGTGAGTATAAATATAAAGCATTCTGGCACCAATTTTTTGAGCAGACTTACTTGGCATTGGAAACTTCTTGTAAACAAAGGCGGATTCGTGCACTTGGGAAGCTCGGGATGTTCGGATTTAGTTTTATGGGCATGATTCACATGACGCTTCTGTTGACGTTGACAATGACAAGAACTATATCCACAGTATGATTTGTAGTGGAGGCACGCACAAGCACATATCTCTTTCATGGCGTGCGGCGCCAATGTACGTAACATGACCGCTTGTGCATCGCCAACGCAGCCACAGAGTGGAGCGGAACGGCTGTGAGAACATGCCGAAGATTTCCTCGAGCACGTACCGAAACCATTATACCATATCGTGTCGTCAAGGAAAAGCAAGAACCACAACTAGCTTTCAAAATATTTTGTAATTATTTTTTCAGGGTGCCCTCCAACCTACCAGTATATTTATAAAATTGAGTCTTATAAGTTTCGCACTTCATTTTACGGAAAATGAAATTATTGAGAAATTTCCGGATCAGTGCGCCTTCAACTGCGGCGGCATATGCTAGCTTTATTAGTATCGCGAAGAGAAATGTACACATACTACTCGATATTCTGTAAGTGGCTTCACTCTCATGAAGAAAACGTGATATTTAAGCAACCCCCTGTCTTCCTTTCGTAAAACAACAACAACAAAGGTTGTCTTGCAGTGCCAAGCCTAAAGGCAGTGTCGAGCTGGAGGGTGCTCTCGGTTTCCCTTTCTTTCTTTTCTAGACCTTAGAGTTTATATCTCAGTACTTTTTATATCCTTTTTTGCTTCGTATATTCGAATTTCTATCTTTCCAGCTCCACAAAATTATATATAAATCCAGCTTATTCATTTCATACCGCTCTATTTCTCAACAACTCTTCCTTTCTATAACTTTCTCTTTATCTGTTTTAGCAATTCTTGCGTTTATTCTTTCTTTTTTGTTCCTTCCCTTTCTTTATCATGTTTTCTCTTTCTTTCTATTTGATACTTTACAGTCTTCTCTCCTTCTTTCTCACCACATCTCTCTCACTTCATTTTTCTCGCCCCTTTCTGTACTACTGCTCTGCTTGCGTTTTTTTAGGGCCTAGTTGTTACGACGCTCACCTTCAAAACGTGGGTAAAAGCATGGTCGCTGTATAAAAAACAAGGTGTGGCCTCCTGCGTCAAAGACTCGCTCACTGGATTCCGTGCCGACCGGTTGTGCCCTCGCGATCTCCGACGACAGCGTAGCTCTGGCGGACTGGGTTGGTCCTACGCCACCTCCTGACGCCGGTCCCCGACGACGACGACAGCGTAGCTCTGACCGACTGGATTAGCCTTACGCTATCTCCGGTTGCCGACAAGAGCTCTCGCCAGTGGTGCCCCGTCCTCGGACTTCTGCAACAGCGTCCTCCTTTCCTGTCTTCTCCTCACTTCCGTCGCTCTCTGTCCCAGCACATCGCTTTTTCCTTCCTCTCTCTCTATCTCTCTACCTTTTAATTCTATCCTTTTATTCCCTTCTCTACCCCCATCCCTCGTGAGCTACTGTTGAGGTGTCCGCCCACTGAGAGACAGTTACGGGGCTCACTTTTCTCTTCCTTTCTCTTTACAAAATCACCCCCCCCCCCCCCGCGTCACGTCGCCTTCAATGAGCGAGCGTTTCTGGACTGAGTTGACAGTGTCGACCACTTTTTTGGGGGGAAGGCGCATACGCTCCACCCGTCATAGCGGAAGGCACTTTGTGTTAATTGTGGGTGCGTGGGGGTTTGTGTGGGTTCGTTTGCTGTTTCGTGTGCTTTCTTATGTTTTTTTTGGGGGGGGGGGCGCAATCGTGTGCGTGGAGCAGTTTGCCTCGTGTCTCCGGTGTTTGAGGACAGTTTTTATAGTGCGCGCGTGTCCAGATGGTTTTTTTTAGCGGTGTGATGCAGCGAGTCTGTTGTGTCACTGTGAGTGCCTCTGTGTGTGCCGCTGTGCAAGTCGAACGCGAAAAGAGACACTAGCTTGCAGTACCGCAAATAACCCTGAAATCTACAGTGTCGGGAACAATTGCTGAAAAAATATTCTTGCCAAGGATCGTCATGAAAAGGAAGAACGTCTTTGCTCCCGTACGCAAATTATACACCGGTGCGTGCAGCATTGGAGTCACCGCAGGATTTATGAGCATTCGCGTGCTTCGTCGAGTGGTTTGTTCGTGCACGTCCACTGCTTTGTGTGACCGTGTGTGTGGGCAGCTATATACACATGTTTTCTGTGCTAGAGTACTATTTTTATTGTGCGCGCGTGCATCAGACGGTGTTTTCTAGCGGTGTGATGCCGCGAAGCTGTTGTGTGCTGCTACTCGCGTCTGCCTAATAAGTTATAATTCTTACACAAACTTAGGTTCCCGTGGTTATGTGGTTTATAATTTAGGCACGTAGGCAAAACTGTTTTCTAGCGAAAAAGAGGTGCACGAGGGACAAGGTGAGTTTCGTGAACCGTTGATAGTGACTAGGTCAACAGAAACAACGACAAGCGCTAAAATAAGTAACGAGTACAAGAACAGAGACAAAAGAAAAAAATATACACAAAAAGCACTTAACGTTTCTCCGTATGTTCTTTTGCCGCTCTTTATTTACGCGCAACTGATCTGTAAATTGTGCCAAATTTACTAACGCACCCAACCTGCCGTAAAATTTTCATATGGCCTGTTGCAGAAACTCGGAGGAAGAGCTGATTTCGGAATAAAGCGCATACAGGCCCTTCGGCCACTTTCCTCAGTTCCTGCATCACTGACTGCTTCGTCTTGAAGAAAGAAGTAAAGCTGCTCCAAATTATTTTCGCAATATTGGACTCGCAAGATTGGCCCTCCCAGGGAAAACTGTTCACATATGTGGTGTAATAGGTATTCCTATTAACAATTCAGAATTGAACCTGTGGTGTGTAGATATGAAACGCGCAATTTGCGGCCTACTGTCCCACATATAAATGCGTGGGAAAGCGTTTCTTCTGAGAGGAGAGGTGGCGCCAGAGCGGGCGCAAGGTGAACTAACCCCATCCCACAACTTCGGCGGCACGCCGCAACTGGCTGCACCTTGTTTATTATAAAGCAGCCGTGGTTCGAGTATTCGAATAACGCCTCAAGAGGCTTTCTTATTCAATAGTTTTCTCTCTTTTCTACATCTTTCTTTTTTTCTTTCTCTCTTTACTTGCTTCCTCGCTCATTCGAAAGCACTTGCCGGGCGAATATGTTCAATGATCGAAGAAGCTCATATGTGAGGAACTGCAGAGCACCCGCCGAGTTACTGGGTTGCACGCGCAATGAAAACCGATGCCATTCCCAATGATGGGAGTTTGTGGAAACGCATAATGGCACGACGCAAACCATCACAGCTCCCCTGTAAAGAGAGCTAGAAAACTATATGCGACACACAAAACGTATTATTGTTTCTAGGTGCCTTACATTACCGTAACATTTAGCTAGAAATCCAGAGGCAACATTTAAAATAGCGAGAAAGATAGAAAAAACGATGGTCTCTTCACCCTGATAAATTTTAGTTGAACATAAGTAATCATGCAGTTACTGGACCATGAGTAAAAATATATTTCTTTTTAAATCTAACTCCACGACTCATTCAAATTACATAAAATGTATTTCTACTGGTAGCAAGCATTTCTAAAGAATTCTTACCGAAACGCCTACCATTCTATGTCTCGTTAAATGCACCGAAGTATTTCGTGACCTACGACGTCAAGTGCAACCAGCTGTGATATAGAACTTAAGGTTACAAGATAGCTCAATTTGCTATTAGTTAAAGCTTCGTAGCCTCTGCCTTGCCAATCACGCACAGAAATGTCAAATTAAGCTTCGCGTCCAATAGTGGACGCCATGTACTTAAATGATAATATACTTTGATGTGATAACTGTCTGCAGCCAAGGCGTCGAGGAGAAAGGAGATGAAGAAAAGATCCCTTGCGATGGTTTAAATTGCCATAGCAGGTGCAACAAACAATCGGCATGAAGCACTCAACAAAAAATTTTCTTGCTACAACTTGGACAAGATTCATAACAGAGATGGTAGCCACTTGTGACAGAGCATTTTTGTTTATACTTCAGCTTCAAAACGTCCAGGAGGTGGAAGCTGTGCTGCAAGACTGCGGAGGAAAAAGGGTTGCTCTGGTTATCAAGGCATGTGGTTCAATAATGGTGCTTTCATGACTTGTTCTCCTGTGAAAGATGGGTACTGCCCAACTTTCGGCGAATTTTTTCCATCATGCGAAGAATGCATGGGAAAATGTCGACGTAAGTATATCTCCACGTTTTTTGTTTTTCATATTACTCCAGTTGAGATTTAAACATCCATTCGCATCGCGCAACGGTGCCGTTTTCTCGACACCCACCCTTAAGCGCAGCTTGTATATTGCCTCAACGTTGAGGCTGCCAGTTGTTAACAAGAGATTTGCAGTTTATCAGCTAACATTGTCTTTGAAAGATGATAAATTGTAACAACCATGTACTGGGCGTAATGCGCAACATTACCACTTTATTAGTTTAGATCGTGAATACAAGCAGCCATTGCAATCACGGTAATGGCTCTATGACGGCGTGACCAAATGGATGTTTCACAAATATTGCAAAGCCTAATTCCCGCAATTTATTTTATTTTTCTCCTAACGGCACAAGTGATCACTTCTTTACTTTTTAAGCAACAGGGCTGGGCAAGAAACTAAAATGAAATAGTTGTAGACCACTTTGAAAACACCCTGTTGGGCAGTTGCGAACATTCTAGTGTTTAGCGTTTTTCGGCTTACTACTTATGCCCGGAAAATCAAAAAAATATGAACACTTTGTAAATTTCAAAAGGTGTTAAACGAAAGACTGAATAAATGAAACCACGTTTATTCCACTTTGTTCACACCGGTGGTGCTGCGGTGGACAACGACTGTGGCCGTTGAGACAGGGTCGACCAGAATGGAACACGAAGTGCGCGTCTCCTTTCTTCAATCAGTGATTTTGGCTGACCTAAAGAGAGGACGCATGCGCGTGAAAGCCATCTGACTAACTTGACTGCTGCAACAAGACGCCTAATGTCTAGTTCACACTGAAACATCCGCTTTCTACAGCGACCGAAATTCCCCTGCCGCCGAAACACAGAGTCGTTCGCACTGGACGCACCCCGCGCCGCCGAATATGCCATCTACTATGGGGCAAACACGGGATGGATGCGCTGTCACCCGGTTGTTGTCACGGCTCGCAAACACTACTACGCTATCCGGTGGTGTATACTTCGACGATTCTCGTACGCAAGAAGCAAGAAAAGACAGTACTGCTTACTTTTCTGGCAAGTGGCTGTCTTGTAATGCGCGAAGAGCAGAAAAACCACCGACGCCAGCGGCGTTGGTGGGTTCGTTTTGCTTTGCAAGGCCGCAACAAGCTCGGTCACGCCAACAGCAAACTCGGTCACCTCTTTCACGAAATACGAAGGCGAAGTAGGCACAGAGTAGATTAAACTCCCGTTGGTTTCAACATTCAGTTGCGTGCACTGCGGCATAACAAGTGAGTAGGGTTTGGCCGCCACTTTTCAAAATTCATTGATTAGCGCTCCTATTGGTCCGCGGTGACCGATTCGGCGGCAGACGGCGCAAAAATCGGTCCAAGAGCGATCGGCGCGGAGAGGGCCCTTTCGGCGGATCTTGCCGCCGCCGAACCGGATTCGGAGCACTTTCGGCGGCCGCAATGCTCAGTGTGAACGCGGCCTAACTAAGTAGCGTTACCACGTGCCGCTGCACCTTCACGCTATATTTAAGAGATAGAACACCACCTAAAGGTGGCGTTCTATAAAGGCTCTCTCCGCATACTTTCTCAGTAGAGATATTGAGTATGGTTGAGCGGTGACATTGGCCGCGAGGACCTGTGTTTAGAAATAGTTGGTAACGATTTAGAGTACTTGGTACTCTACGATGGGAGAGCAGTCAGCCGTCCCATTCTCGGACCAATCGGATCGAATAGCATCCACTAGAGATGTAAGCACTGCTATCGTTTTGACGTCACAGATAGAATGCGTGCGCTCGCCTTGCTTGCATCATCCCCTATGGCTGCACTGGTTCTTAGTCGCGATTTTACGATGAAAGTTAGACACGAGAGTGCCACCGGGGGCACCAATTCGTATAGTTTGCTTGCCCCTATTATCAGGTGTTACCGCTTCTTTAAGCACTGAGCTTCAAAACAAAGGGAAGCACGCATGGTGCCCACAGCAAAAGCGCAGAAAATGCAGTGTTATAGCAATCACAATCCATTATCCTGTGAGTGACGTCAGCATGTAGGTGGTGCCATGGTATGTCCTCGACGCCAATACTTCAGGAGTTAAGCTATTAGGCCACGCCACTTGCAAGTAACATTGCTTATGACCCGTTCGTTCCTCGTAGTCGTAGTGGTATTGTGTAACTAGTCTTACATTTTGACCTGCAAGGTGGTGCCAGTGAGAGATTTCTTCTGTGCGTTGTTGAACAATAAAAAATTCGCAGCGTGCGCGTTAACTAAAAGCCGAATTCTCCTGTCTCTCATTCCCCCTTAGCAGCCATTGGAATGTACATTGAGCATTATCTGACAAGAAAGGGTTGGATACGTTATACTCACTGGGCGTAACCTCCTAGGTTTTAGATAGGTTTAGCGAACGTTGGGCCGCAGTGCCATGAATACAGTGAATTAGTATATACCATGAACTCGAGGTGGTTAAAGGTGGGAAGTAGACACGAAGCGCAAGCCGTAAGAAAGCGTGCGTGTGTCACCTCTCTTTTAGTCCTTGGAATGTTCGCTGGATGGCGGTGCTTCTATATCAGGAATATATGATGAAAAGATGCGAGATAGTGGTACTTGAAGTATTGGATAGACGGACGAACGGACACACAGACAGATGCATGAACGGACTCACGGATGGCTTCACCGACGGATGGACGCAAGGACGAACGCAGGGACGGACGCTCAGATGGACGCGTGGACGTATGAACAGACACACGCAGGGATGGGCGAATGGACGCACGGACGGTCACACAGACGGACGCATGGACGGAGGGAAACAAGAACGAATGGATGGACGGATGCTTCGCCCCACTCTCCAACATTCACACCGTGGATATGCTGCCATTTTTTTTTCGTACAGAACGTCAAGCAGCGAAGCTGAAACATGCGGCCGCGTTTCTCACGGGCTGTGTTGCTTTTGGTTTTTCGGCCAGCATATTCAAGAAATCTCTTTTTCTTACTTCTTTGTTAACGTTAGCTTAAAGGATATTAAGCACACCTAAGGGTTGATTAGGAGTAGAGCTTCATGCCGTGGTCAGTTTCATCGCACGCTATCTGTGTGGACAAATTCTAAAGTGAAGCTAGTGCAAGTGCGGAGACTCTTCGAGGTAGCGATCTCCAGCATCCGAAATATGCGCGGTTTTAGCTGGTCACTACGAGTGAGAGGCATCAAAATCTTTCGTGCGTGCTAGCCCTCAGTGCGGTGTTTCCCACGGTTCCGAGTGCACTTAGTCGGATGTTGTTTCGATCGGACAGCGACGAGGATGGACGCTGTGCGATAAAGCCTGTTCTGCCCAAGGAGGTTAAAAAAATGCGGGAGTGAGAATGCTTGCCCACAAGTGAAACCGTGCCAACCGTAAGATGCGGGCAGTGGCAGCCATCTTAGTAGGGGCATGATAAGCAGTTCATAATTGGTGATTGAGAAGGAGCGTTATCCTCGCACGCCTAAACGAGTTTGGTATGTAGGGTTTAACGTCCCAAAACCACTATATGATTATGAGAGACGCCATAGTGGAGGGCTCCGGAAATTTTGACCACCTGGGGTTCTTTAAGCCTAAACGAGTTTAACATGGCAACCTTTTAGGGTCAGATAGTGTTCAAAGTGCGTCCTTGTGTTACTAGCTTTCCTTGGTAAGCCTCGAATTCAAGGCAAATTCTACAGGAGATTAAGTCACCGATACTAGTTTCTGCGGAATATTTCTTCTTCAACAACTATCTTTTAAGATATATTTACGTAGCATTTAGACCAACAAATCAAAGCCACTTCCTCTATAAGTGGACACTACCACAAAATAGCATGTTTCTGCGATCTTTTGAGGTCAAAAACTGGCTTTACTACGGCTGGCAAAGCAATTCGGCAGCTTCCACTCAAGCAATTTTTTTAACCTCCTTGGTTCTGCCAATGACCACACTAGCCATCAGCACTATAGTTAAACTGATGGCAGGGCGTACGAGCTTCATCTTCAAGGAACGGAGTCAGTAAAGATAAAAAGCACTGTGCAGTTCTGTCATAAGTTCATAAATTTCCTTTGGGATTAAAAAAAATTGCATGGAGGCACGGCACTGAACTTCTTTTCAGCGTCCGTATTATGGCGCAACATTTGTGTCAGACTGTTGCCGAAAAGTTTAAAACAAGGGTAAGGAAATGTAGCTCCGGCTTAAAAAAAGAATCGAAGTTCACGAAATGCTATATAATTTCTGTTCAGAAATATATAGTTAAGAGTTAGCGCTCACCTGTCTGTTTCTAGTCCCTTTTTTCTGTGCACGCTAAAAATGTTAGAATATAGATAACTACTGCGTCTGCGTATTACTTTCATGAGCCGTTGCGAGGGAAGAATATCGTTTGTTTACGAGTGTAAGAGAGCACTGCTTTGCCGGAACAAAGAGGGCATCTCACGTATTTTTTCAACTACGCGTGAAAAAATCCGGAAAACGATATTACTTACCAGACATAGTTATAGGGTTTCTATTCAGATGTTTTGCTAACCAATTTATAAATTTCTTTAATGGTATTTTCTCATTTCCTACTTGAACAAGCATAACTAGGCAATGAGCCAGAAAATAAGAAAATAAAAACGTTTCTTTTTTAGAATTACGTTTGCTAAAACAGCGTCTGATTTCCTCTTCCAAAGAAGCTAGCTTTTAAATGAATCTTATTAAGGGGATGTTGTGGCTAAAGCCTTCTTAACCGTCGTTGATGGCCTGTGTAATTGAAAGTTATTACTGGCTTTCTGCATGTTAACAATTTTGTAGTCAAGCAGATTTGTGTACATAACGTGGATGTAACAAAAATTTCTGCCCTTTTCCTACCAAACATGCCAAATACTTAGCACTACAGCTCAAGCAATGCCAGTACATGACCTGAACATGCCCAGCGAGACAGCGGCAACATGGATGCAATGCCTACCACCTATTTGCCAGTACAACGACGAAAACGAGACAAAAAACAATAAAGAAGACATGTACGACGAAATTGTGCCGTTATACTACGCGCTTTTTTTAGTTTGTTTATAATCTCTGAAACACACACACACACACACACACACACACACACACACACACACACACACACACACACAAAGCGTTAGAAACGTCAGTTCCCACTGATCAATGTTGATCCTGTGGTTTAAAGCCGGCCATGAAGTGCAAAAGGCACTATTTTCTACAGACGGCTGCACATTTGGAAGGTTGCAGCCAGTACAAAATGGTAAGTAAACCTTGGACATCCGAAAGAAGTGGTTAATAAAGTCTTAGTTTGCGTGGTATTATAAATCCCGTTAGCTAGAAACGAGTTCATGCGTGCTGAATGACACGCGTCATTATGAGAGATTCGTTAACTGGAAGGGGTGTCCTACAGTTGGAGCTGTCTTGAACAGCTTAATCTTTAGAGCCTTCGATTGTCCGTGGAAGCAGCCACTCCGGCCGTTCAATAGGGGAAAAAAGGGCAACAAAAATCACCGTCGTTCATCGTTCTTGTAACAGGTGCAGCCCAGTGTATAACAGTTGAATAAACTGCACTTTCAGTAGTGTGTTAGCTGTAGCAAACGATTGATGAGATGCAAGGATTCATAAATCATGCTTTATTGCAACACACTTCAAGCACCTCCTTTAACAAAGAACAAAAAATATCGATATTTACGACAGTGACCGCGAAACAGTTGTACATGTTGTTAAAAAGTTATCATGACTGAATGCAGGATGCAAGACAACAACATTGGCTCGTTTCCTCTGTATGACATACCCGAATGAAAATTAGTAGATAATAACACTAATTATATGAGACTTTGATTAGCAACTGACCAATGAGTCCTCACATGCCACTGCAAGCCACCAAGATTACCGTTACAACAACCTTGTTGCGAATGAATGAGTGAATGTAGGATGAGAACGGAGGGCTGGTTTTTTAGGGGCGAAACAGGGAAGTTTATGGCAAACTGGTAACAAAATTTCAGGTGAGGAAAACTGTCTGTTGTAACAAAATCACTTCAGTGGCGTGTACAAACAAGAGAACATAGACAGGATGTAACACACAGAACTTCCAATATTCTCACAGATCACTAATCACTCAAGAAAACAAAGAGAAAAGAAGCGCAAAAAAGCAGTCAATTGGAACAGATTCACTTATTACGTGGGCCGAGAAGCAATTTTTTCTACCGTGTTAAAACGGCAGTAAAGGAAGTTGAGTATTCCCGTTCCGAACTCCAAAAAACGTGTATACCACCTTCTCATAAATGCTTGTTCACCCTGATTTTCAATCTGTTCGGTAAGGTACCGAAACATGTTCATTCTAATCTTCTGTAACGCTGGGTAGGCAGCTCGTTGGGGTCGTCGCCGTGCTTCGGCCATACAGCGGCGACGCCGCAAGACGAACATTGTGACGTGCAGTACGAGTTGTTCAAATAAGCCCCTTTTGCGCCGTTGGCTCGAAGGAATCGACACTCTGAATTGACGACGCACGATGTGCCACACGTCCTTGGCCGCTACGCAATCAAACATCGTGTGTCGGATCATTTCTCTTTTCCCGCAGTTGGGGCAGTGGTCATTGGGAACGACGCCCCACTTTAACAGTCTCTGACGAGTGGGTAACGCGTCCCATCGCCGCACCCAATCAAATTCTTTAACTATTTCCGGTACGTAGTAGTTCCGCCATTTCTTCCACTTGCTAGGCCTCCATCTCTGTTTTTTCTCGTCAGTAATCGAGCGACTGATTAACATTTCGCTAATGCGTGCGGGTGCGAGCTTTGCAAAGTATTCTTCGGTGGCGTCGCCGTCAACCGAACGCTCGAGGCCCTCTGCTGCCTTATAAAAGGCATGTGGGTGTTCTGCTTGAGGTCCACGGTACCTTTCCGACGTGAATGCGGCTCCAAGAGTTCCGGTCCAATATAGCAATGAGCTACGGCCAGGATAGTCATTGTCCTGAAACAATTTGTGAACTGTTTTAGCTGCAAGTTCCCTTGTAAATGTCGCAAAATCTGGCAGCCTGACTGAGTCCTCCACAACTTTTTGGGAGCTTCAAGAACTTTTGTTGAACTTTTGGTGTCTTTCCGTCCCATAGGAAGGCTCCAACCAATGACGCAAGACGGCTCACAAAAAGTTGGGGTATGAGTGCAATGTGCCCGATATAAAAAGCATATGCGTATGCTTTGGTTTTCACCACCATCACTTTGGCGTCAAGTGACAAATTGAAGTCAGTGGCATGCATACGCGAAGACTTGCGTGGCTCGATGTACGGCGTCCTCCCAATTTCTTTTGGCCACCTCCCCGTCTTGAAAGTATACTCCGAGGACTTTTACGGCATCCACGTATTGAATAACACCCGGCAAAGAGCCGTGGAAGCTACCGAAACGAAGGGCTTTGCTTTTCTCCGCATTCAGGAAAGCACCCGATAAACTGGCATACTCTTCGAACAGCTCCAAGGAAGCGCGGTAACTGGCTTGGTTTCGCAAGAACACAGAGATGTCATCCGCATAAGCGGTGATGCTGACTCCAGACCTGTCATTGGAAAGCCCTGAATATTAGGGCACTTTGCCACTTTCCTAAGGAGAGGATCTGTGGAAAGAACAAAGAGCACCGGTGCGATTGGGCATCCCTGACGAACACCTCTTGTTACTGGAAAGCCGGCTGTCTCCACGCTGTTGATGAGAAGTCGGCTGGTCATGTTGGTGTATAGAAGCTTTATACAGCGAACGTACTGCTCAGGCAAACCAAACATTTTAAGTACGCAGCATAGGTAGTCATGTTCGACCCTGTCAAAGGCTTTAGCTTAATCCAATGACACGAAAGCACCGGTAACATTTTTGGCGTTGGCATTTATTTATTTATTTATTTATTTCAGTTTATTTCAGTTATTAGTACAGAAAAAGGAACAGTATACAAAGTATATATACAGGAGGAGGTCCGAAAGCACAAGGCTGCAGGGGGACCTCCTGTTCAAAATGGGATTAAAAAATTTAATCAATTAGCAGTAGCAGTGAAAACAGAGATATGAGTAAATTGATAAAACCAACACTAACTAAGAAACAAGAAAAAAGAAGAGTGGAATAAACAATATAACAAGATAAAACATCTAGTAGTTTATCAAGTACGAATACAATTGTTTTTTAAATGTGCCGATAGTCGAGCATTGCTTGATGTGAGATGGCGATGAATTCTATAATGATAATGCTGAGAAATATGCAGTGTGGTGACCAAAATTAGTGCGGATAGTAGGAAGTAGAAAATTTCCATTTGAAGCGAATCTAGTACGGTTTAAGTTAGGCAAAGCATTATGATAAAAGACGCTTGATGGGACAAGACGGTGCAAGGATTTGAACAGCATGATAATGAGGTGATATTTAAATATACTAACAGTAGAAAGTATTTCGAAGTTACGAAGTAATGATGATGCACTAGAACGATATGAACTGAAAGTCATTAGTCTGATGGCTTGGTTTTGAATGTGCTGAATGGGAGATAAGTGGGTGAGGTATGTATTTCCCCAAGTGGTGATGCAATAATTAATATGGCTGTGAATAAAAGCATAATATAACTTGAACGAATCATAGTAGAACGAATCTCTTATCAGAGTAAGTGTTTGAAAAATTGACTTAGCCGGCGCTGAGCACGTTTACGTTGGTGACATTATATGGAGCAGAAAAGGCTTTAGTCTCAAGCCAAGGATCTCAGCTACAAGTTTGTTGTCTGTGTTAAGGAGGGTAATCGGCCTTCATGACCGTGGATCGTAGGATCCATGCCCTCCTTTGGCAGCAAGACTATACGGCCCTCACTGAAAGACTTCAGCTTTTGCCCATCAAGAATGAACCCGTTAACCATATCAGTAAGTGCGTAACCTAGGACGTCGAAGAAATTTATATAAAACCCCGTCAGTATTCCATCGCGAACTGGAGCCGTGGTAGTGTTCATTTTACTTAAGGCTTGCCAAACTTCATCTTTCGTCACCTCAGCGCAGAGCATATCAGACACCTCAGGACACAGCGTGGGCAAGCCTTCGCAAAAGTCTGCGATTCTTTGATGCTGGTTGCTGTCTTTGGAGCGAAGATCTGCAGAGCAGAGCCTTTAAAAATGCGCCCTGAAGACCTCCTCGATTGATTTCATATCTGTGACGATGCTCCCACACTCTCTCCGTACTGCACAGATAATACTGGGCTGGTGTTTGCTTACCCCTACTCGCTGTTCGTATGACAAGTTTCCTAGTTCTTCCGTAGGCAGGTGCAGTTCCTCTGCGCGTTTAAAAGCCTCGGACCTTGTCCTCAACAAGAGGTCGTATTACGCCTTTTTGGCCCCAATGTACTCTTGAATTGCGTTGGTGAGATTACCTGCGCGCTCAACAATTTGAATACGCCTCAATGTTTCATTCACTTGTGATGTTAGACGTGCATGGCGCTTTTTACCAGCCTCCTGCGCAATCACACGCCATCTGGCCTTCAAGAGATCCCATGCTGTCGGCGTAATTTGCGGCGTGTCTTTCAAAGACGCATAGATATTCATGCGCATTTCAGATACCGAAACTTCATCATTCAAAATTGATGAATCCATTCGCCCCAACTTGGAGCAATGCCTTCCAGCTGGGCCTTAAAGGTGAACAGCACTGACATGTGGTCGCTAAGCTTGCGTTGCCCAGGCGCTAAAGAAGTGACATCGCATGTCCCCAAACTTGCAACGAGATCGTTAGGGATATGGACTCTGTCAATCCTGCTCTGAGATGTACCCTGAACGGGCGTGGCTCCAAAGGTGTTCCCGTGAAGCGTTGTCCATGCATCGACCAGCTTCAACTCTCTACATATTTTCTGCAACTCTTCCGAATGGTATGTGCTTTGTCTTTGACTAGGGCCTCGGAAATCTCGAATTGAATTAAAAACACAGTTGAAATCACCTAACAACACGCACGGTGCTGAATTTAGCAGGAATGACCTGGCACCTCTAAAAAAGTCATTGGCAAGAGACCTATCCACGGGCGCGTAAAAGTTGATGAATCAGATTTTCTG